CTCAAACACATTCCATGATGCTGACTTCTGGGGTGGCTGAGTCGTCTTCTCACAGTGGAAGGATGGACAGGAACCCCTGTGGATGTTTTCAGATCTGACGCAGCTTGATTTTCTCCTCTCTCTCAAAGATGAAAGCTTTAAGTGCTGTTTATTGGATGGGGACTGTTTTGGTGTCTACCAGGTCTTGCACAGTTGTTAGAAGTCCAATTTTCTCTGGTATCTTTCAATATTTTTTTTAAGTCCAGTTTTTAAAAGTGCTGTTTTTTCACTTATTTTTCACTTTGACTACGTTCACATTACAAGCCTCGTTGCTCAAATCAGTTTTTTTGCTGAAATCCGATCTCTCTGACACGATGGTTCACACTCGTTTAGCTAAGTGATTCAAATCTGTCATTAATGTGAACGAACCGGCATCCTGAAATGACCCTCATGAGCACATCCTGCTCAGTAACGTCACGTGAATGAATCACGTGCATCATCAGCACAAACTAACGTGCAGAACGAGCTTCGCTGTGAAGATAATTAACTCTGATCAGCTCTCAGCTTCATTATTAGAGTGAGACGAAGGAGAAAAAGGTGAGATGAGCTGCTTTTCCACCGTTTACAGGCTTAAACTTCTGTTCGGCGCTGCTGCCATGGTAACGCTGAATGATGGTGCACACAGAGTGGAAAAAAAGCTCATGAATTCCGATCTGAGCGTCACATTAAGGTCGCATGGCCATGAATCGGATACGTATCCGATCTAGGACCACACATGAAAGTGGCTCAGTTCGGATTTGAAAAGATCAGATTTGCGTGTCCACACAGCTCTGAAAACATCAGATCTGAGCCACATTAGGGCAAAAAATCGGATTTGTGCCACTGGTAATGTGAACGTAGCCCTATTTTCTAATTTTCTTATTTTCCAATTTCTAATTCACCTGAAAAATAAATAACTTGCACTTAATGACCAGTTTGACTGTAAATAAAGTAAACTGAGGGGGGTCTCTGACTTTTGCACAGTACTAACTGCAGCCAGTTCAAGGGTCGGAAAGTGCATTCACCATCTTTGCTGTGGTGGACGAGTGTACATGGACCTCTTATCTACTCACCATTTCACAAATCCTGCTCAATCATTGCCTCAACACACACAAATTTAACATAATTGTTCAGCTGCTTGCACACAAGCACACACACACACAGGCACACACACACACACACACACACACACACACACACACACACACAGAGGGTCTTTCTGGAAATGTCACACCAGCGGAAGAATTATGGAGAGGCCGCCTGATCATCAACCAGGATTAGGATCAAACTGGACACTAACAGCACCACTGGCAAAGAGACTACTCTCCACAGTGGAGGGGAGTGAGGGAGGAAAGAGCAATGGTGTTTAAAGGGAAGGTGAATGATTAAGTGACCGCTGCCCGTCCGTGGCCCATGCTCTTGTCGACTGAGCGGGCAGAGGCACAAACTCCAGCCTGCTGGTCACTCATGAATAGGAGGCCAGCCATTCACACTCCATTTCCACCCCCTGAGGGCCCCTGCATTGTAGCATGTTCTGCCACCGTGTACTAATGCGAACCTCATTCACCCTCTTTCTCACCCACAAAGCATTCTTACTGTACCACACTGTAAGAAAGTGTACAAAGCAAAGTTTGGGGATGCCTAATTTTCCCATTTGTAGTGAATCAATAAGTGCATTTCTTTGTTGGTTTGCAATAACGTAACATATTAGGCTGGCTTTTCATGGTGAAACTAATCTACAGAAAACTAAATTGCACTTGAACTGCATAATGTAAACCATCCTGCAACTCATTTGAAACTTAGCTGCAACAGTTGCAAGCATCTCAACTTCTTGAGACAAGTTTCATGAAACAGCCAATCAAAACGGCAATAATGCATCATGTGATCACACCAAATGCTTTTTATGCAATTTCAGGGGACTTATGGACAAGACAATAAAACAGACAATGGTTTATTGTGCAGTTGAAAAGGAGACGCCCCCAACTGACTCAAGGTTGGTGACTTTTCATTTTGTCGGATTCCTGAGCCAATACAAAAAACACTTCTCCAAATTTATCGCAGTTAACCAGCCAGCTAACAGTAACAGCTATTTAAACGGCTACTTGTGCCACCATTATTCTGCTTTAGCCTGCTGTTATTCTGACCTATGTAGCTGGATTCGTTTTCTCCTCTCTTGACACCCCCTAATTTTGCACATAGCTCAGACTGCTTTGGGATCTAAACAATGAAAACTGTTAGAGGAGGGGAGACTGAGATGTGCTCCAGGATAAGGTTGTTGTGCTTTTATGATAGCTTGAGATATAAAATACTTAACATGACTACTTTATTTCCAAAGGCTTAACATACACACAGCAGACAAAAACTCAAATGTAAAGTAAAATAACCTAGATTGGTAGTTAAAAGAGAGATATGGGGAAAAGAATGGCAATGACAGCTGGAAAAAACATATAAAGATGATAAAAATGCTGAAAACAGGTAAATTACACCTTGCAGGTGACTTATAGCAAGAACGATGTGGTATATCAAGAAGTGTGAGCCGCTAATTTGCCTGTTATAGTGGAGTGACTGAATGTGTTGTGACTTTAACTGTCAAGTTGCACAGAAATGATGTTGCATGCAACTCACAACAGCTAGTTGTATGAAACTGGTTGCATGAAAGTCTCACTATGTAAAGCCAGCCTTTTTTATTTCCTTAAATTTTTTTTTGCCATTTTTCATTGCAAAAACCAGAAAAACTGAAGTAACAACTGAAAAAAGTTGCAGTGTTTTTAGGAATAATGCCAAAACCCGTGCATTTTATTAACCCCTAAAATGGTCAGGGCCCACTGGCAGGCACATAGTTTTATTACACATTTCTAAAACCTAAGAATAGCTCAACCAGTTTGCACTGAAGTCCCTGTAGTTACTGAGTAATAAGCCTTAATATGTAATAAGCCTGGGATTTTAAGGGGTTAAACAAACCTTTTAAGTTTCAACGAGCTTTGGACCTGAAAGAGTTTCAATGTGTGCTTTTAACTATAGTTTGCAAAAGAAAACTGCCAAATCGTTATTTAGGAAAAATGCCCTGCTCTTCAGGAAGACACTTCAAAGAACGTGAAGCTGTGTTGAAGCAAATTATCCACTTATTTGCAAAGCACAAGCTAAAATCAAACATTAGTCTGAGAATTTCAAAAGAAATAAGAAGTACTGCATGCCCCATTCCCTCAAGTTAAATATTCCATTCAACACTGACCTTTTTTCTTAAAGGCTTACAGAGAAGCCATTATATGGCTAATTATTAACTGCCTCTTCTTCATCCCTGATCAAGCACTGTTTTCTTCTACTTGTTAAGCAAGTACACATTGCAAAAGACCCACAGCACCAACAGTAAAACAGTTTTCTTTCTTAAAACTGAACCCTAGATCAAAACCAAAATTTGTAATGACTGGTAACCAAGACAATCTACCAAGAAAACACCCTGAACAGCTGAAATATTAAACGCTAAACGTGATACATACACTTACACGCGCATACATTCTCTTTGAGTTTGTTAGAATCTACAAAACGATCTATGACAAAGACGTAGAAGCTGCACAAAATTTAGCCCTTGTGTGGTGTTCAGGTCTGTGGGACCCATTTTCAATGTTTACCAAAATAAAAATTCATGTGATTTATTATTATTTCAACCTCAGATTCTTGGCCTTTTCTCATTCTCTGTGAAGAGCATATAAAATAACCCATTTTCAGTGTCTTCACTCTGTTCACCCCCCACGCATTTATATTACACATGTGGTGTTGGGTGAACCTGCAGGGAGTAAAAGTGTGGAGGTGCTGTGTCCTTCACTCTGTTCTCCTCCTACATGGCCTGCTGTTAGTGTGTGTGTGTATGTCTGTGTGTGTGTGTGTGTGTGTGTGTGTGTGTGTGTGTGAGGGTGGACAACATGGACAGGCTGCTGACTGGCTACAGCTGCTAAAGAAGAACCCTATGCTGGCCACTTGTGACATTTTAAACATCTGGTGTTTTACATAAATTGTTTTGGCTGTATTGATTGAAAACAATAATGTGGTGGGTCCACCAGACCACTGAGTAACAAACACATCAACACCACACAAGGGGTAAAAGTTACACTTATTGGCAGTGATAATAAAAGTGTACTGTAATCTTACAATGTTTCTTACCCATAGCTCATTGAAAGGAGTGGAGAAATTTGGCAAAGTAACCTTTCAGTTAATACAGTGATTGTTTTTCTATTTCTATATGTAATCAACTGTGTAATTACGTTATTATATTTTTGACCACAAACTGAAAACAGCACACACCAACCTAAATATGGCATGTCTCTGTTTTACCAAATATCAAACGTTGCTTTATGCTTCGAGACACTATATCGTCAATGTTGGAACAAAACTTTGCACATCCATTTTCTGTCCTTTTTTTTTAGATTTTTATATATTTTTCAAATGCCAGTTGCCTTTTTCACTGTGTCAAAATTTTATCAAGAATGGAAAAATAGAAATATGCCAATATGCCTACATTAACTTACACTGAAAGTTAAGAATGTTTCTTCTGTAAAACTACGAAGAATACAAGGTTTTCTTATGACACCGACAAAATGCATGACATATGTCATCACTCACAGCTCACCAGCTCCACTGACTACTCACTCTTTATCTTACACAGTCTTTTCAGTGTGTTTAGCCCTTCATCAGTGGTCAGTTCCTGCCTACAGGACCGCGTGAGCTGGATATTTTTGAATGGCGGCCAATTCTGAAGTAGCTTAATATACACCACGACTCTTTTAACTTAATTTTTCACCCTTCAGTTTTTAAAAACTCATTTTAAGACTTTAAGGATCAGCAGGAACTCTGTAATAACTCTAGACTTAAATAGTATGATGATGCAGACATTCAGAGACCAAATGAATCACTGAAAATTCTGAAGTGAAAACAAAAAAAAGCCACCAAAGTAACTAAAGTAAATATGAAACAGTCAGGGAGCTTACCGTCCAGGGAGAGCCAGTCATGCTGGGACGTGGGCAGGGCTGGGAGAGCACGGGCTTTATACTCAAACACCACCGAGTTTGAAATGATCTGGCTACTGGCTGCCACCTGTAGGGTCACCAGGCCTGTGTCGTGAGCTACAGGGAGAGGACAGAGTCTGCTTAGGGTTTTACTTCTTAATCAGCCGCTTCAGTCTGTGAGTAATAAGCTGGTACCGAGCCTAAGCCAGACAGCGGAAGGCCTGGCAAACATACACTTCTGTTCTTGTCTATTTCACTGCCAGGTAAGAAGGATGGATTTTTGTCTTGTCATTATAAATAAAAGTGTCGTGATCGTGATTGAATCTGACAAAAAGGACCTCCGTTAAGTTACTGAGCTGAGAGTATTTCACATGACGGACAACACTATAATATATAAAACTGAGTGCTTTGGGAGATGAAACATGACAATTCAATTTCCTGTATTTTTCTGCTCCTATGAGCTCCTATGAGACCAAGTAGTAGCAGCACAGTATTAAAGAGGTTTTGAAACTGGACATAAGCAAGGGCATTACTCATTCTACTCTTCATTTGGGAGATAAAAAATGCAGTGTTTGAGGAACTGTAACTACGTGAGAGACTAAATTAATGTGTATATTTGTAATTCATGTGGCTTTACACTACTAAATAACACGGTTAGTACATTTTAGCATATGAAACGGCAGAAAGGAAACATTTGCATATCTAGCCAGAACTGCTAGAATATAAATCATTTCCTAAAACACATATTTATTCATACATACACAAATGCAAGTAAAAACAATTCCACAAAAAAAATGCATTTTGCAATTATAAACCTCAATTCCAAAAATCAATATGGGACTCTAAGTGAAATGCTAATAAAAACAGAAAGCACGGGTTAATAAATTCTGTTTGACTTTGTATTAAATTAAAAACACAATATACATATTTAGTTTACCTTACGAACATATTTAGGTTACCTTATGAAAAATTTGGGTCAGGGGTTTGTTTATCACTGTATTACATCACCATTTCTTTTAACAGCGCTTAAAAGATTGGGCACTAAAGACACCACTTGATCCAGTTTTGAAAGTAATATTTGCCATTCTTTCATTATACAAGTCTTCAGCAGCACAACCAGGTGTGGCCTTTGCACTTCATAATGCACCACACGTTTCCAATGTGCATCAGATCTGGACTGCAGGCTGGCCAGTCTAACACCTGCACTCCCTGATTACGCAGCCATGCTGTTGTAACACAAGCATAATGATGTTTGAGGATGCTATCCTATTAAAATAAGCATGGAGGTCCCCGAAAAAGACGGCATCTAGATGGTAGCATATGTTGCTACAAAATGTGTTTATTTCAGTGTTAATGGTGCCCTCAAAGATGTGCCACGCCATGGGTACTAACACACCCCCCATACCATGGCTCTAATTTTATGCTGGTAACAGCTGGCATGGTACTTTTCTTCACTGACCTACAGAACATGATGTTCATTATTTCCATGAACAAAATAAAAGCTTGACTTGTCAGGCCACATTATTCTTTTCCACTGTGCATCATTTAATTACCCACCCTGACGTGAAGAGCCGGTGGGCTTCTGTGCTTTTAAATGCTTTGAGAGACTCTCCAGAATAGGGAGAGGGGCTGAGTATGAGACAAATATAATTGTCAGGGAAACACAAATTTGCTAGCTTTTCCGCCAGTTTAAGTGGGACCAGGAGTTCAGGGGGAAACTGTATAAGGATTTCAGCCTATTTTATCGACTTTGTGGAGGCCACGTTTTTTCTCTTCCAAAGTAAGGAGAGTAATTTTAGTCATCTGTGACTGAAACCCTAGGATATTTACAGGTGAACTATTAAATATCTTGTTTTGTATTTGTGTTTAAAGTTACACTCCACTTTCTGTTTTCATCTTCATTACACATCAACTTTTCTGAAATTGAGGTTTATACAAACAACGTAGAGTACTTATTCTGAATCTGAGGGCATGTCCTATCTGTATGTCTACCTGGGCAGTAGCATCGCAGAACTCCAGGCTGGATGAGGGAGGCAGGCACGGTGATCTGGTCAAACAGGCAGCTGTAGTCACTGCTAGCCTCCTGCCATGGGCCTGTGATCAGAACCTTAACACCACCCTGAAAAAGCAAACACTGTTACTTTCCATGCATTGTACACACCAAGGTATTTAGCAGGTATATATATATATAAAAACAAACAAAGCACACTGAGCAATCTGGAAACAACTACTAATCAGAATGTCTGGGTCATATAATGTGTATGTTTGGCTGGAAGAGTATTTATCAGCTTGTCATATGCCTCCGTTATGCTCCAGTCTCTATCTGTTCTAATGCCCTTTTGCCAACGGATATGTTAATGACATCACAACAGAGTCACAGACTTGACATGTGTCTGGCCCATAGGCTGCTCTGGTACGAAACAGGCCATGCACTATAGGAACATTGAGGTTTACCATCTAGAGAGTGAACGCTCTTTGTCTAATTCTTCTGACAAAGTGCTGCCATCTTGTGGTTGGCTTAGTGTATTACAGAGAAAGAAACATTCACAAACATATAACCACAAATCTCACAGACATAAAGAAGCTCAAATTTTCCGATTTAAAGGTCATAGTTACAAGTGGGAGCTTCAGAAAGAATTCTGATTCCCAGTTTTCTGACTTGCTACACAGACATGTAAAATAATTCATTTGAGGCAAAAAAACTGCACATTGTCTCTTATTTGAAAATGATATACAGTATTTTTAGTTTATTAAATTCAATTAGACTACATATGTTCTTGCTTTCTCTAATGCCCTTTATTAAGCAGTCAAACATACGTTTTTGGTAGGCATCAAGTGGTCAGTCTTAACAAGCAAGTGGTCAGCCTTAACATTAGCATTACGTTAGCTGCTTTGTGGTTGACTCGCTGTTAAACTCAGATATACAAACTGTGGTATATGCTGTTAAATACTTGAACACACTACATGGCCAAAAGTATGTGGACCCCTTGCTATCACATGTACATGAGTTTAAGGGCCTAAGGAATTGCCCATCTTTGTGGCTATAACAGCCTCCATGGTTCTGGGAAGGCTTTTCACAAGATTTTGTAGTGTGTCTGTGGGAATTCTCAGTCAAAAGAGCTTTTATGTGGTCAGCCACTGATGGTGGATGAGAAGGCCTGGCTCATAATCGACATTGGGTTCAGTTGGGTTGAGGTCAGCGCTCTGCACAAGCCACTAAACTCATCAAACGATGTCTTTATAGACCTTGATTGTGCACAGGGGCACAGTCATGCTGGAACAAGAAAGGACCTTCCCAAAACTGCTGCCACAAAGTTAGAAGCACATAATCATCCAAAATGTATTTGCACACTGAAGCATTAATATTACCCTTGGCTAGAAGTAAGGGGCTGAGCCCAAACCTTGAAAAACAGTCCCACACCATTATTTCTAAGCATTCTGGTAGGCAGCATTTACTGGCATCTGCCAAACGCAGATTCATCCATTAGACTGCCCCAATAACACGTTTCTACTGCTCCAGAGTCGAGTGGTCGGCGCCTTGCATTGTGCATAGGCTTGTTGACTTTTCGCAAAGGTGGCATCCTATGATAGTGCCACATTTAAAGTCACTGAACTCTTCAGTACGAGCCACACTGCTGCCAAAGTTTGTTAATGGAGACTGCACGGCTATGTACTTGATTTTGTACACCTTTAGCAATGAATGTGGCTGAAAGACCTGAATATAGCTTTGTCCATGTCTACCTACTGCCACCTCCATATTAAGAACAGTAGGCATACAGCTAGAATTCATGGAAACTGAAAGCGTTAATAGGAAAGATGATAGGGCATTGTGGGTAAGTGGTGTCCGTTCATAATGTTTGTGTTTGTGTATGGAGAACCTTATTATTTCGTACTGACTTTAATCCTGTGATTATAGTGACACCCCTGCATAATGTCAGGGGAAAGGATGGTTTCAGTGGTTAACGCTAGTAATTCTGGTAGTGTTGGTGGTCTTTTTCTAAATACAACTTACCTGTAAGAGTTTGTTGCATCATGTAGATTTTTACAATGAGGAAAAATCTTAGAAAGATACCAAAATTGATCAGGATGGCTAACTAAAGTTAGTGGTGCGTTTACCAAATAGGCTCATCCATCTTTCCGACAAAGCAATCTGTAATTACAACTTGGTGAACAGGAAATAATATCATCCAACACATTTTTTAAAATGTGGCACTACTGGAGCTTTTTTTCTGTGTTTCAACTTATCAAACCTCAATAATATTAAATATTGTAATATATATTGTGTAGAAAAAGTCTTTAAGAACTTTGATGTTTTATGTCTCTTATCTTACCTACTGCTAATGTGAAGGCAGCAATAGTTAATCACTCACCTCAGGATAAGACCACTCTGGTGAATAGTCTGTAACCACAAACAGTCTCCCAGTGGCCTGAAGCATCCCCATGGTGCCATGAGCCACAGCAGCAGAAACCACCTCTTCCACTTGCATGTAGGCTAGCTGTCCTGCCTCCCCTGCCACTGCCCCAGACTGGGCAGACTGGGGGCTGCAGCAGGGCTGGAGGCAGAGATCTGTAGAGTTGTACCCGGCTGCCCCACGGGCACTCCCTTCTTCTGCACCCTGCTGGGGTGTTGTTCCGGAGGATACCTGCCCCTCTGTGCCAGAGTGGGCCAACAGCTGATGGCTGTATAGTGCATTGCCCCCTTGCGCTCCCACTGCTGCTCCACTTCCTCCTTCCACCGAAATAAAGTCGTTAATGAGGTCTGAAAACTGATTCCCAAAGGAGACGTCAAAGTGATCTAGATTGATCTCCATGGATCCGCTTCCACTGGCCCCACTGGTGGTCAGACCCTGGTGGGCTGCCACAGTGTTGAAGAGACCCTGGACTAGGCCAGCCCCCTGTAGAAGTGGCTGGAGCTGCTGATGTGGACTTCCAGCTGCTCCATTGCCCTCAGTACCATTACAGAGGGCTCCACTGTTAGCCCTCGTACCTGTACTTCCAGTTCCTGCTCCCAGGTTGCTGCTCTCCGATTGCTGGAGGTAGTGCTCTGTGGCCCCGCTGCCATCCGCCCCATTTCCCACACAAGGCTGCAGATGATCCCCTGCCTTCAGCAAACCCTCAGTCTCCTTCTCCTGGCCTCCTGCATCCCCTGCTTCTGAAGTGGCTGGCTGCTCCAGACTTCCAACGTCTTCATGCTCTTGGCCTGCACCAGGAAAGTGGTTTTGGTACTGCAGAAGTTGGAGAGTGCCACCTTGCCCATTTCTCTCAGTTGGAGAGTTGCCATTACAGTTAGAGGCAGCATGCTGTCCTTGGTGGGCATGATGGTGGTGGAGATGCCCATTGGTACCTGATGAATCAGTTTTGACTACAGACAAACCCATGTAAGCAGTGGTGTCATGGGAGTTCTGTGCAGAGGTGCCATTGCTCTGGTGGTTCTGTGTCTGGGTGGACTGGGGTGAGCCCTGCAGGAAGAAGCTAGGAGAGTGGCTCTGGTGGGCCAAGTGAGGGCTGGGAATAGCTTGGCCATAGCCTGTGGCTGACATCACGGTAGAGGTGTAGTCCTGCTTGGCATCAATGGCACTAAAATCCATTTGCTCCAGAGTGGTGCTGGGGCTCAGACCACCCCCAGAGGGCAGAAGAGAGCCAGTCGGAGTCAGAGCAAGGGAATTTTGGCTAGATCCGCTGCCTGAGGAGCTGGAGAGGCCACCTGCACCACTCACCACATCCCCAACCTGGTAACCACTTTCCTTGGCCAGCTGCTGCTCAAATGAAGTGTCCTCTGTCTTGATGTTCTTGACCAGTGAGGCATTGAAGCCAAAACCGTTGTCACTAAGAGGAGGCGAACAGCGGACACCTCCATTACTGCAGCTGCTGCCATTGCTGACCTCTGTCTTCAGCCCATTGCCCCCATAGGTCTGGCCCTGCTTGGGGTTGTTGAGGAAGCAGTCTGGGTCAAAGTTGACAGTGGTCTCGGGCAGCTTGATGCTTCCAGAATCCAGGTTGCTGGAGAGGACAAGCTCTTCAGACACACTAGCCGCCGATAGCATGGCTAATCCCTCGGTAGACCCCGCATCTCCCAGTCCCACACCCACAGCCCCAGGGAAGGCAAACTTGTGACTGTCAGCGGCAACTGCCAGCACCAGGCTGCTTGAGGCTGTGTCGGGGCCCAGGAGATGAGCGTTGGGGTCTCCGGTAGGAGACATGCTGTAGACGGGATCTCCAGTGACCTCTGACATGAAAACTGTGGCAGACTGGGACAGGCTGCTCATGACTGAGGCCACGTGGCTCATGCCAGTCACGACCGGACTGTCAGCCATGTCCGGGTCGGAGTTCAGGCCACTGCTGATGGACACGGGAGAGCTCTGGGTGGTGTCAGGCACTTCGACCTGGTTGGTGGAGGACACCTCCATGCTGTTCTGGTGGAGGAGAGCTGGTTTGGGCACTTTTCCATTCCTCTTCTCACGTGCGGATGATCCACCCGGCCCATCAGCCCCTGCTCTGCCATTCTTGCCTCCCCCATGGGTGTGCTCGGTTTTGCCCTCAGACACATCGCTGTTCTGCACTTCAGAGTGGGTGCTGCTGTAGGCACCTCCAGAGCGTGGGTCTACTTTTGGGGAGATGATGCGGTGTTTGGCACTGTTGCACTTGTGATGCAGGCTGCTTCCAGCACCTACAGGCAGAGGGAACATGAATGGACACTGTCAAGAATGGGCAAGTATGAGTGAAGTGTTTAGGTCTTCTACAGCATGTTTAGGTCATTATGGTCCATAACTACCAACAAACTGGAAAACAGTTGGGTATACATGCAACTTTTATTTGTAATTTCAGTTAAAGGAAATTTTCATCTATATGAATGTATATTATACAATAATATTTTTGCACATTCCTGTGTGTGTTGTGATAATGCCAGAAATTATTTTGATATGTGTAAAAAGGCTGCCATCTAGTGACAAACTCTGATATTGCATGGAACAGGAAACCACATTTAAACTTCACTTTACACCATAGTGACAAAGCTTTTAGCTGCACCTTTTTATTTTACAAAGTGCAAATTTTTATCGCTGATCATTTGATATGTTCCCTGGAAATGGAATATGATATTGGTTCATCTGTATGTAACTCAGCTCATCAAATGTATACTGACTGAAGATTTAGGATGGATTTAGCACACAGAGAAAACAGCATTGCACACATTCACCCTTGATTCAAGCACTGGCAAAACATGTTATATTTAAAGAATATTTTGGACTTGCATTATATGTGCCTTAGCTTAACTGTTTGCCCTCCAATTACTTTGTCTTTTACTTTGGTTTGATAAAACTCTACAAAGGCCTTCAGTTCATCATGTGACCTACTTTTATATTAGATTAGTACTTTTATCTTTTCTCTTGATCTCACTTTAAATCTTGAATCTGCCCCCTGTCTGACTCCCTCTTAACTCTCTCCCCACAGTCCCTTACCCAGCGTCCCCGTGCAGAGGCAGTTATGAGTCCGGGGAGGTGGCTTGGTCTGGTGGCTGTCCAGGATCTGCTGCACCAGCTGCTCGGCCGAGAAGCCGGTGCTGCTGTTCCCGTTGCTGCAAGTCCACTTGATGCCATGAACTGCCGGGAGAGAGGAGGAGACAGAGACGTCAGCCAGACAGCCACACAGACCAGTGGGCAGCCAGCGCCGGCCACCACCTCGCCAGCCCCCTCTACTGGCACTGCAAGGGAGAGACATTCTCACACTACCTCGCCATGCTAAATACTGCTACACCGTAATTACGATGTGTGTTTTGTTAGAAGCAGTGTTTTCATTCTGAAAACTGCTCAGGATTTTTCAGTTAAAATGCTGTTACATTGCATGCCCCTCATAATACGAAATAATGTAGAGTGGGTGTATGGAAATAAACTATCATAATAAATAAACAATAACAAAAACACTATAAAAAGCTACGTCTAAGCTTTCAAAACCTGTAAAAATACGATTGAGTACTGATGCTCTATGTTTTAAAACCAAGACAATCACTCTATCATGTGATAACACTATAATAGCTTTGCTTAATAAACCATTAACTTACTAGTAACAATTGTGAACAAGCCATTAGTTAATCAGAAGTTGAAAATGGACAAATGTTTCTAAATGACAGTTCATGTAGTTGTTTATATTCATATTTACATATGCTGTACATGGTGTTTTCCTGTACATGTACACTACAACTATTTCACTAATAAACATTAGTGCATGTATACAAATCACTGCAGTGAAATACTGAATTATTACAACTTTTTATAGCGATAAAAACTTTACATTTTATCCGGTATGTGTATATAATGGCAAAATATCTTATGGCTAAGTAATTAGATAACTCATATGTGACGTTATAACTTGTTTACAGATGTTTGTAAAATATGTATTTTAATGAGTTACAGACATTTGCAATAGCTGATGTAAAGTAAATATGTTAATAATTAGTGCATGTGTTTGAAATAAATGTAAGACATCTCTGTCATGTCTGAGCAACATGTAGTTGTAGTTTCTGAACTCGTTTGGTGATGCCTCTCCAGCCGATCTTGGGAGTATGTCGCAGATTCAAAGACTACAGGAAGAGAAGAGGTGGAGAAACACAGGCAGAAATGAGGAAACGCCTTGTTTTTTTTCTTATTCAGATGGAGGAGGTGAGCCTCAAGTGCTAGACTGCGTAATGTGTGCACTGTTAGATCAACTGGTCATCAGATTGCCGTGATTCTGGGATTGTGAATTATAAATAACACTGCTTTGTTTGGAGCATTACAGTGCTATACAAGACAAGACACTATTATAAACAGTGTTGTAGACAGTTTCACTTTAGCTACTGCAGAAAGGTCTATAATGGAGATTCTGATTGGCTTTGCGGAGTTTGCATGTTCTCCCCATGTCTGCGTGGGTTTCCTCCGGGTTCTCCGGTTTCCTCCCACAGTCCAAAAACATGCAGTCAGGCCAATTGGGCACGCTAAATTGCCCCTGGGTGTGTGTGTGTGTGTGTGTGTGTGTGTGTGTGTGTGTGTGAATGTGTATGTCTGTCTGTCTGCCCTGCGATGGACTGGCGACCTGTCCAGGGTGTATCCTGCCTTCCGCCCAATGACAGCTGGGATAGGCTCCAGCACCCCACCGCGACCCACAAGGATAAGCGGTTTAGATGATGTGTGTGTGTGTGTGTGTGTGTGATTGGCTTTGCTGCTGAGTTTAACTCTGTCTGTTTGTGCTGGTCAGCGCTTCATATGCAGAAGTTTTTATGTGCGCCCTGAACTGAAAAAGTAGCACTTTACTTTACAGTACTTTGAAAAGTGGTGGGTTAAATACCCGCTCGCCACTATGGTTCCAGCAGCCCTAGAGTGGCTGTTCATCATAAATGCCACACTTTCAAATGCATGCACACGAAGATTGTATGGTGTACTGAGTACAGTATTCTGCATATTGCACCAGTATATACTATATACTGCATGCTACTCCTTTTAATATTTCACAGTACAGTGTTCAGTATGCAACAACCATCATGCACACGCTTATAGTATGATTCTAAATAGTACAATACTTATAATAACAACACAATAATTACAATAAATAACAATAACAGAATCTTTTGGTTCTACAGAACCATTTTTAAAAAGGTTCTTTAAAAAAAACATACAACAGATTTTTTTTTTATCATTATGAAGAACAATTTAAACACTGAGAGGCACTCTCAGAAAAAAAGTACTAAACTGTCACTGGGTGGTACCCTCGGGGGTACGTCTTCGGTATCTTTAGTCAGGGAACATAACCGTACCATGTTCCACTACAATCACAAGCTGATACCAGGTTGACATCAGGTTATACAAATATGCACCTCTGACCTGGAACAATTTTATTTAAGATAAACAAATTGGACCTCAAATCCACTGTTGTACCTTTGAAGGTACATTTACATTTACTTAATGATTTTTAAACAAAATTGTTGCTATAATGGGTTTGAAATTTTGTAGAACGTTTGTCATGACGTACTCTACTCCTTACCAACTAAACAAAAGTATTGGGACACCGCTCCTAATTATTGGGTTTGGGTGTTTCAGCCACACCCATTGCTAACAGGTGATTTGGGACGAACTAGAACGGAGATTGTGAGCCAGGCCTCTCGTCCAACATCAGGGTCTGACCTCATAAATGCACTTCTGGATGAATGGCCAAAAATTCCCACAGACTCTCTCCAACGTCTGTAGAAAGTTACAGCTGCAAAGGGGGACCAACTCCACATTAACGCCTATGGATTTAGAATGGGATGTCATAAAAGCTCCTGCGGGTGTAATGTGTAGGTGTCCCAATACTTACATATATATATATATACATACACACACACACACACACACATACATATATATATATATATATATATATATATATATATATATATATATATATATATAAGTTTAAGTATATAAGTATATTATTATATATTATATATATTTTACGCTTCTAGTAGTTTGCCTGTATTAATATCAAGCAATGTGAGGTTGTGGTGCCATCTGCTGGACTGCTCTATGTACTGCAGCTCCTTACTGGAATTAAGCATAAGAGCACACACAGCCTGTGCTGTGATGGGATAGGTACTGGAGCAGAACGAGGGGCTGACGGGGAGCAGAAGCTGCACTGCTATCTCATCTACTCCTTAGTCTGAATTCTGAATGGGCATGTACCTCATCAATAAAGAACATCCTTTTAATCTGCTGCAATAGAAATAAACATGACAAACATTTGATACAATCAAATTAGCGGGATTCAGAGAATCACTTGATAATTGAAGTGATAGCAAACTACTTCCTATCTGATGGGAAAAGGAACGAAGAGACGGCAGTTATTTCATTATTATCATAAATAGAGCTGTCACTATTGATTATATTAGTAATCACATAATCTACCAATTATTCTGCAGATTAATAGAGTTTAAAAAGGCCAAACAATTAAAAAGCACTTGATGAACAATAACAAACCATGCGTAGCCTTTCAAAGAATCCGAATACTTTAATGGAAAACGATAAACAAGGAAGCCTTTAAGAGACATTCAGCCACATGCGAAGGTTTGAAGGGCGCCCGGGATAAATTTCACGCTTTGTTGATTTTCAAAGTGAAAATAAGTGAACACATCCTCTATAGAGAACACGCTTCTGCACATTTTAAAGCACATTTACTATTTGTTAATTGAATTTAGCATATGGGAAGAAAAACATAGCACAAAATGTGGTCTGGGCAAAAAGTTATGACACATTTTATATTGTGTTTTATTTTTGTTAAACTCAGCAAATAAATAGAACTTGTGCAGAAAATTCCCAGCAGATGATGTGTTATTATCAAGTAATAGAACACGAGAGGGAGTGTTATCGTGAAAAACATCATGGCTGTGATTTGGTCGCCGTAGATTATAGAGAGTTATAGAGATATCACACGACCTCGAGTGTTCTATCGCTTTTATACAACAGGTAAATATATAAAGTACTAAATTAATAAACTGGGCCGTGAACGCAGCGTTTAATATGTTTTAATGTTTGCAGTTCCTTCAATTATAGTTCCTTAACGAGCAGCTCGTTGCTATGTCAGAGTAACGAACTCCGCCCACTCGCTGCACAGCCGGCAGTTCGTTCTCCAGCTCCACACAGACCAACTGACAGTTTGAGAATTTAGTGTAGCCTCATCTTCACAGTCTGACCAAATCGGCTGTCGGTCAAATGTGATCTTAAAAGTATCCATTTTCTGTTTGTGGCAAAGTAAGAAGTGAAAACGTTCAAATGGCTTGAGCGTCTCCTACAGCTGCCTAAATCATTGCTTAGCAACGGCGTCTCAGCGGAGTGATACAGTGTTTGTGAAAAACCTGTGACGTTTTGGCGCAGCACAGTTAGAACACTTCTCAACCAATCAGCTTGCGTGGCCGGAATTAACTGTTGTATACTAAAGCAATAAGCCATTCGAGGCCGTGGGTCACTGGAAGGGTGTCCTTTGGGTGTTCTTTGTGTCTAAAACCCACTTCCCCGTGATAAAATCGCAATGACACACAGCCTAGAATGGCTTATTGCTTTTAGAAAACGGCGGCCAACATAAAATATATTAAAATACACAATGTTTCAGATAATTATTTAAGTTATTATTAATAGTAATCAACAAACAAGTATTCCACCAAGAAATGTAGTTCCTTTAGAGTATGGTATCGTTGCTAAGTAACCATGGACGGCTGAATGAGGAGAAGAACGTTCGGTCGCCGATCACTGTAAACTGCAGACATTTCATGGTTTTTAAAAGATTTTTTCGTATAACAGTGAACATGTGATAACACAGCACTGTTTAATGCAAAAACTTTCAGTTTATAAGTACTTTTTGGTCACCAAATTACCACCGCTGCGAGTCTTCCATCAGTCTGACGACGCCACTTTTCTCACGCTGGGGCTGAATCTCAAACGGCTCCCCGCTCCGTACACAGTGCACTACGTAGGAATTTAAATACAGACTCCTGCAGCCCAACAGTGCAAAATATCGCTATAAATGTTCATTTGGGATTCATCCACATTTGTACTCGACAGGCATGCACTATTTACAGCAGAGGCTAGAATTTCTAAAC